TTTTCGACAACATTCACATGTGTGATTAAATTGATATCAAACAAAATTCATCAATTTAATTTAAAATTTTTAATATTTAATAATATTTGAGTATTATGAAAAATGGAAAATTAATGTTTCCTTCATCACTTTTTTTTTTTTTTTTGATAGTATTATTTGTTAAATTGACAGATATTAAACAAAACTGAATTCTTCTCAAAATAAGCTTTTCTGTGTCATCAGACAAATCCCATTTTCATGTGTCCTTGTCCACCCACTCCATGCGTCTTTGTCTCTTTAAATTTTTCCTTTTTTTCTTTTTTCCTTTTCATTTCATATTCATCAGATTATTCTTTTTAAGGAATTTTACTGTTAAATTGCTCTCTTCTTCTTCTTTCTCTATTCTATTTTTCAAATATTATTTCAGAGCTTTTTTTTTTTCTTTTTTATCTGATCAATTCATTTCATTAATTAGACTTCTTGCTTCTTTCTCTCCCTTTCTCTCTCTCTCTTTTTTCTTCCTCTCGCTTACTCAATCTTATCTTTTAGATTAGTACTGATAGTTGTTATATTTCTCCTTCCAAACTTTTTCCCTTATTATTCTGTCAAAAAAAAAAGAAAACATTTTGTTATCTTTTCTTATAATTTATCAATTTTTATCAAAAACAACCTGTTAATATGATTTTTTCAATTTCACTTTTTTTTCAATAGATGAAAATCAATGGTTAAATTACTGACTTTAATATTTTGACATTGTCTTGTCTATTTTATGTTTTTTTCTTTTTAAGTAATATAATGTGAGATATAAAATTGTAGAAGAATCTTGAAATATTAGTCTAGCAAAGTGATAATTTTTTAACATTTTTACTTTGTTATCACTAGATGAGTTAACTTGTACACACTGATATCACAATGATATATACGATGTACGCACTGAAAAATGATAGATTTCAATGACCTCATTCATTGGCATTCATTTTTGCATATCCATTCGAAATTGATCATTGGAAGATATCAGTTTAAAATGATAAATACCAGTTAGGAATGACATTTGCATTGATAAGATATCGGTTAAGAATGATATTTCCATTGTCCAGATATCAACCGAAAATGATAGATATCAGTTAAAAATATCTCTACTGATAAGATATATCATAGTGATATAGTTAAGAAATGTATTTTTCAAATATACGATATCAGTTAGAAATAATATTATTTCTAAGTTATGAGTTAAAGACAACAGATATTAGTTAAGAATGATATTTTTGCTGATAAGATATCAATTGAGCTCTATGTAATGCAATGGTATTTGGCATATATCATAGCAATTTGAAATGATAAGAAGAAATGATTGCTTAACAAATAGTAAAGTTTTAATTGTAACCAATGTTATTCTCATTTTAAGCTATTCCTCTTATCATTTCCAGATAAATATTTATAAAATGCAATGTGATTTTTTCACTTAAAAAAAAGCGAAAATTGTTTACATTTGAGTTTAGACAGAAAGTCTGGGAAAATGGAAGTAAATAAAATGCTTTCTGAGAGGCCTAGCAAAATATTCCTATAATCGATGCAAGACAGAATGTCCTTAGACGAGACTATGCTAGACAATGTCATTTTCATTTTATGCGCACGCATTCAATCTCATTTTCCTGTCACAGATGTGTCTAAGGCACTTACACATAAGAGATTGTTAACAAAATAATTCCTATCATTTCATTTCATTCATTATCATTTGTTTATCAGTTACTAGTATTATCATGATTAGATGCAGCGTAATTTTGAAATGTCTTTGGCATTTTTATCAATAAATCTTTTGTAAATACTTCCGAAAAGAAAATTGACATTTGTAATAATTAATAATAATAGAAAGGGTAATAATAATAATAATAATTAATAGTAATAATAATGCATAAATTAGTAGAAACCATAGGAAACTTTTATGATTAGAAAACGCATTTATGAGTTATTACATCGGCGGTAATAATACAAATTTCTTCAGCATTCAAAGATTTCAGTAAACATTTCTCAATTAATTATGCTTAAGTGAAACTTTGAAAATTTATTATCGCAGTCATTTCGTATCAAAAATCTCGAAAAACTTTTATATCATTTCAAATGCTAAAGAATTTGAAATTGATGTCAGTTTAATTTCATTTAGTTAAATAAACGAAATACATTATTGTAATGATCGAATAACTTTTTTCTAATGTTTGCATTTTTTCATCGTTAATTTCTAGACATTCAATTTTCTCTCTTTTTTTTTCTCTCTCTCTCTCTCTCTCTGTTTTCTCTAAAAACCTCTTTTTTTTTCATATACATTGGAAGTTTAATGTTTTTCTTCAGTTGATAACTTCTTTGATTATAAAGTAAAATGAAAGTTAATAAATAAATATGTACTGGCCTTTTCATTTTATTTGCAGAAACAATTTTGACCTTTGAATGCACTTATGCATAGTAATAGTGCATTACTTCGTTAATGAATGCTCTCTAATTAATATTTCTGAATAAATTGGTGTGAATTTTTCCATTCTCTTCCATTTACTCTTTCTTTCATTTCTTTAGCATTTATTAAAATGATGGCTTTTGGAGCTATTTAATAGCTATAGCTAATATCTCTTGAAATATTTTTATTTTCATTGCATTAAAGTCTCTAAAAAAAAAAAAAAAAACAAAATTTGCAATTATATTTTGGGTTTTATTTTCTATTTGTGATTTAATTAGAGGAGAACCTAATGATATGTTATTTAGCACAAAAAGCCTGGTACAAAAAGATACGCATCATTCTTTCCATTCTTCTCATTTCATCTTTTTCAAATTCATTTTTATATATGTAACAAATATCATTTGACCTAATATTAATCAATACTTTTTTTTAAAAAAAAAAAAAAAAAGTTTTAACATTTTCATCTTCATTCATTGATGCGCATTCGTTACAAATAAAAGTGTTTGTGATTAATCATTCATTGAATCGGATGTTTTTTTTTTTTTTTTCTAGAGAACAGTTTTTTTCGAGAATAATTTATTTTGCAGAATTAAATAGAATTAAAAAAGAATACGATAATTGTTCTTTCTCATTTAATAACTATGTTGAATAAATTAAGAAATACTGAAAATTTCAGCTAGTCGTAACTTTTAAATATTTTACTGCAAAAAAAATATCAAAGGTTAGTAAGAATTGAAGTGAATATTAATTAATATTTTTTATGGAATGTATGAATTAGTAAAGATAGAAGAATGGTTTTAATGCATTACAGTTTCTTAAAATGTTAATTTGAAAGGAAGGATATTAGATAGATTAAACTGTCACAGCTAATTATGTCTCTAATGAGTAAACCAGTTACTTCCTTTTTCCTAATAAACACATCTGATACATTCTTTTACCTATTACTAGACTTTTCACTTCTTTTTTATTTAAGGGTGTAACTTTTTTCTTTTTTCAAAAGCGGAATTTTTCACTTTAAAAAGGTATTTATAAAGCGAAATTTTTTTTTTTTGGAATACAATTTTTTGAAAATGTTATATTTAGAAGTAAAATTACTAATTAATATTGATATCATATATTTATGTTTGACATTACAAAAGGTCATGCATAGTATTTGCATATCCTAAATCTAGTGGAGTGACTTATCAATAATGATAAGATGATCAATCCATAATGATCTTCACAACAGTTAGCCACATATCCATCAATTCTGAAATGGTGGTATCGCTACCAAGAACGCATAAGGTAGGAGGACAAATGCGCATTGTGTACATCTGAACAGCTGCTTTTTTCCAATCTCTATTCATCATTTCATTTCATTTCTACACTAGTGGTAATATTTAGTATTCACATGCAATCGATCCCAATTCATTACATATTTACGTCAATAGCAATATTTGAAATTCACGTGTACTTCCTATTGTTAACCATCGGTAGTTAGTCAATTCATTACATATTTACGTCAATAGCAATATTTGAAATTCACGTGTACTTCCTATTGTTAACCATCGGTAGTTAGTCAATTCATTACATATTTACGTCAATAGCAATATTTGAAATTCACGTGTACTTCCTATTGTTAACCATCGGTAGTTAGTCAATTCATTACATATTTACGTCAATAGCAATATTTGAAATTCACGTGTACTTCCTATTGTTAACCATCGGTAGTTAGTCAATTCATTACATATTTACGTCAATAGCAATATCTGAAATTCACGTGTACATTCCGTGATATCCGCTATGAACACTATGTAAACTTTCGTTTTGTATTAGCGAGATTTCATATTTCAGTCAAATTATTACAAAATTTTCAACAATAGTCGCATAAATTTTATATTGTAATAAATAATTGATTTCATATTGTTATAAGTAATTGACTTTATATTGTAATAAGTAATTTATTTTTCTATAAAGAAACTGGAATGAATTTACGATTAAAATTTAATGCTAAACGTATTCAACAATACTATTCTTTCTTATTTAACGATGTATTAATCTAACTTATCACTTTTTACCAATTGATCTTAAATCATTTTACAAGAAATTATTGATCTTGCAATTCTTTATTAAGCATTTAATCTTGATTTCCCTAAAAGTTTCAAAGAAAATATTTTTTTTTTTTTTTTTTAAATACTGACATTTCAGAAACTTCCATGTCACAAATGTTGAGTTGTTTAAAATTACGAATGTCCCCATTTTTTTTTTTTTTTTTTTTTTTGACACCAAAATTTTATTTTAATAATAGCAACAACAGCAGTAGATTGAAATTTGTTGTCATTGTTGAAAATACGTTATTTCATAAATTCTCCGTTCTGAATATTTATTTGTAGTGAAGAATTTTTTCTATCAATGATATAACCGCAGGCGGAACTAGATCAAGTTTTCAGTCCACAGGGAATCATACGTATTAGATCATTAAAACACTTTCACTGATATTGTAGCTGATATTTATCATTTATTTCTCATAATAATTGCTGACAATAAGTGATGAAGGAATAAAAAAAATATTAAAGCAAACAATTTGCAAAGTAACTCACTCCATCACTCTTTTTGCTTTTTTCTTGTAAAGAAGTTTGTAAAATTTTTTATCACTCAAACGAATTCCTACATTTGTTAACTTATTATGTAGTAATTTCATTGTTTGCGTAATAACTGCTACATCAGAAATGCGATATGTGCATTGTGCACGATTGATCTGATATGCGCATTGTGCACGATTGATCTGATATGTGCATTGTGCACGATTGATCTGATATGTGCATTGTGCACGATTGATCTGATATGTGCATTGTGCACGATTGATCTGATATGTGCATTGTGCACGATTGATCTGATATGTGCATTGTGCACGATTGATCTGATATGTGCATTGTGCACGATTGATCTGATATGTGCATGCTACTGCAATGTCACACAGGCAATTTACAAATTTAACTTTGCTAAAAATTGTCAAAATATACATTTTCATGGTATTTAATTCCTGAAAATGTTACCTGAATACCGTTATAATGTAGCAATCCTAAAAAAACTGGAAAATTTTGTATTGCACATAAAAATTCCAAATATGTTAGTCAATGCACTTTGAATGTACTTTGAGCGCAAGGCGCAAAAAAAAAAAACGGAAGAAAAAAGCAGAAAACACTTTTTTTCCTTCAATTGATAATTAAATTGGATGTTGATAAAGTATACGGAGATTAGAATGAATCTAAGAATTGTTTATGGTTATGAATTGTATCAGTAAGCCGGTTTATCTATCAGTTGTTTACTTTCTTCACCTTAGAATCAGTAATATACGGATAAAAAAAAAAAAAAAAAAAAAAACCGGTCAGTTTATAAACATGTATATGTTTACTTGTTTTGAAAAAAAAAAAAAAAATAGAAAAGAAGCACTGTATTGTTCAGCAGTTCCTTTTCTCATCAATAATGGACTTGAAATGAATTTAAATTTGTGGTGTAAACAACTTTTATAAATTCTAATGCAAGTTTATGAATTAAAATGTTCAATTGATAAATTCACATGGAAATTTTATCAACATTTTCATGTCTTATTTCACTATTTCAAATGCTCATATTTAAGTTTCATATATATGATAATTTAATCTATTAATAGTAATCTATCTATAACTTAGATTAAAATGAAATAAAAACTTATAACACTGCTACATTATATTAAATTACAAATAATCAATATTTAATTGCGTATAATAAGTGAAAATGACAGTCACAAATTAGCAACTAATTATCTGGGCATAACTTATTTATTTTACCTATCATTTGAACTACTTTTTGATAATGTAATATAATTATGAAAGTTATAGACAGATATTATAAATTGTTGATGACAAATGTTGTTCCTAATTTTAGTTTTTCTTTTTTGTTGTTGACAATACTGATATATGTATGTGTTAACACGGAACAGCTGCACATTTCTTCTTTTTCCTTTCCACTTTGCTTTTAACGAAAATTTCAAAAAATATAAACATTCATATTTAAAAAAAGATTCACAGTTAGTATTAATGATTAGTTTACCACACGCATATTACGTAACGTTTTCACGTGTATCGCATTTATGTCAGATATATATACGATTTGAATATAATATATCATCAACAACTTCGTATATTCAAATTTGCCAATATTATGCTCAATTAATTTTGTCAGAGATTTTATTAAAACCCTCTCATAATATTACTATGCTGTCTCATTCTTTCTTTTCTTCTATCTCCCTCCCTCTCTCCCCTCTCTCTCTCTCTTTCTTTCTTACTTATATTAAATAATGAGACTGAGCCGTGATAATAACAAACATTTTCCTTCTTCAAATATATCGTTGTACAGGAAAATGTCAATTATAGTATTTTTCTTTTTTTGCAAAAGTGAATATATTTAATTGTATCCTTCGATAAATTTTATTTTAATTTCATCAATTTAAGCGTAAGGTTAAAGGTTAGGCGTTACGTGTTCTTTTGTAATTCGTTTGCTTATAGTTATCACTGAAAGATGCGATTCTAATTAAATTCAATCGTATATTTTCTAGACATTTTCTGAAAATCCAAGAAAAATTTTATTCTCTCTTTCTTCCCCTTTCTCTGTCTCTCTAAACATTTTACAAATATACAACGATAAGTAGAAGAAATTGATAAACGCATATAAGAGAGTTGTTGCTATCACTAATGATAAGCATTGTAATTATCAAATAGCCAAAAAGTGACGTTTATTTGGAAGCTATTATGGTCAACGCTAATATAATTCAATTTAATTTTACTATCAGTGTGGGAGAATGTTACTTAATTTATTTCTGTTATTACGTCTCGCTGTTATATCACTTATACGTATATCCTAAAATAGTCCATTGCACAACGTGAAAATCACGGAAAAGCAATAAGAGAAGAAAATGAGATTGTAAGTAATAAGTGAAATGAATATTTAAATGAAAGTATTCTCGTTTGTGACAATAACAATTTGCAATATTATTATTATCATTATTATTTTTATCACCATCATTTTTTATTATCATCGCTATTATTATGAAAATTCCTGATATTATTCAAAGAATTTTGTTATTCTATAGTTTGAGACTGATAAGTGCACTCATTAGTTCTTTATGATAAATAATACTTGATAATAGTTAAAATGTTTTAGTCTTTATTTTGAAAATTTTCACTCCTCAATTGCTACTCAAATAAAATTAGTATAATTTCACTTCTATATCATTTGCTGTATTTACTTGAATTGAAATGAAATGCTAATTAAAAGAAGAAGTATATGCGAAATGTATTTTTAAAAAAATTTTTGAAAAATTTTTGAGTTCCTTCTTTACATATCTTTTTTTTAATGTTGTTTTTTTAAATTTTAAACTAACTTTGTTGCTAGTTGATGTTAACAACAGTAAAATTTGTGAAAAAAATTTGAAATTAATAGCAATACTTCGAAATATAACTTTTTTCATCTCTTTTTTTCCTTGGTTAAAAGTTTGCTATTTAATGTGATAAAACTAGAATGAATAGCTTTATAACGATAATACAGCGATTCATATCAAATAATTTGTCAACTACTTATTTGACAACTAAGTGCAATATTCTGCAGTGACCATCACGTCCAGTGGTCATTTCTCACTCATCCAACAATTAATCGAAGAATCGTTTGAAACATTTAAACTTTTGCTATTGCTTTAAGTGGTTGAGAAGCAGAAACAGACAAAATAATTGGTATTAATTAACTTGAAAGAAGTATCAGCATTCAGCACTAAATTTCGGTTTGTCCTTATTGAATGAATTTAATTTTTTTAAGTAAAAAAATTTTTTTGACAAAGTTTCTCAAGTTTTAAGCTTTTCTGAGTTTTAACTAAATAACAATAATAATAATTTCAATTTTATAATTAATCGTTCTAATTCTACTCTTTTATTATTAACAATAATAATAATTTCAATTTTATAATTAATCGTTCTAATTCTACTCTTTTATTATTAATACTTATTTGTTTATAAAATATAGCACTTGATATGATATGATATGATATCGTTATGATTATATTTGCAGAATATGTTTGCTTTTTTTTCATACCATTTAACTTTAAAATAATTACAGAATTTGTGGCCAGGAGATTTTTTAGAAGAACAAATAAATCGAATAAAATGGTAGAAGGTATTTCAACTCGTCTAAAAGCATTCGTTGATGGTAAACGATGTTCCACAGAGAATCTTAAAAAATGTTTGTTTTTAGTCGTTGATCCATCTTTATTAAAGTTTTTTATTTTTCTCTTTTATAATTTTGATCGTAAACTGATAAAAATAAAGTAAACAATAAAGGGAAATATTAAAGTGAAGTAAAACCGTTATGCTTTTCTTTTCTTTTTTTGAAGAAATGATATTGGATTATTCTAGTTTTAAATTATCGGTTATCGTTGTCAGATTTCATTTTTAATTTGTTATGTATGATTCTTCTTTTTTTTTTGTATTACGTATTTTTTAATTGGTTTTAACAATTTAAACTTCAATTTCATGACGATTTGCAATAAGATACGCTGTGTTTATTTTACTGATGAAAAATTTTTTTTTCTGCAAAAACTAAATTATAAAATTAAAATTGAAGAAGAATTTGATGAAAGATAAAAAATATCCGAAATATAAATTGAAATTGTAGCAAACGAAATTGAGAATTAAAAAAAAAAAAAAAGAACATTTAAAGTAGACGGATGTATTCTTCAACTATAATAATTAACAGAAATTAAATTTTTACAATTTATCGTTAATTTCAACTTAACGATGCTAAGCATTTAATTATCCATCGAATTAACATGATAGCTCAGTTAAATGCATTTTTAAAATTTCCAATGGATAATGAATTCAAAACACTATAGTTTTACATGTGTCTGTTCTTTTTTTTTAGATGAAAAATCAGAAACAAATGAAAGCAGCGATGAAAATGAAATTGAAAATAATGAAGGAAATATTGAAATAAATGTGAAGATGGAAACGAAAATTGATGATAAATATTTGGTTGTTTTAGCGGAACCATCAACTATCTTATCAGTAGCTTGTACAGTTGATGCAAAAGTATTATTTTTTTTCAATCAAATTTACTAGATCTAATACTTTTTATTTTAATGAAACATAATTTAATAATTTTTATTAACTTTTATGCATATAATTGATAAAATATTATAGAATATCGATAAATTAATTATCAGTGAAGTTTTCAATGATAGAGCAAAACATATTATATAATGTTAGGTTTGCAAATATGTAGCATTTCATACATTTCATCATATTTTCAGTTACTAATACTCTATTTCATTGGTTAAACTTTCTATTTTTTTTAGGTATTTTGTAGGATACGTAATATTGAACGTAATAAACGTTTAAAACGTTTAAACATTCATATGTTTACCCTTTTATACTATTTCAAAAACTATGCGTGAGAAATCGAAACAAAAGAAAAACAAATAAGCAGTTTCTTCTTTTTAAGATTTTTAAATAAATGAAAGTATTTTCTAATTTTAATCATATCATTATCAATATCACTTCTATTATCATTGTTGTTATGTTTTATTGATTTCATTTTTAGGGACGTATTTTTCGAGCTGATGATGGTATGGCATTGTTACTTGGATACATTTCAATGCGTGAACTCTTAGGCATTGAAATATCAAAACTTATTCCTGCTATACAAGTAAGTATATATTTCTTTCATCAGTCATATTAATTTTTTTTATTATTTATTTTTTTGAAATTTAATTATTTTATAATTATTGTTGATTGTAAATGATTAAATTATAGCTTGAAACAAATAGTGAAGTGCAACATGTTTGTGCTCAATGTATTCGTGGTAATTCAATACCAGTTACTGTGAAAGTTAATACGGAAAAAGATTCAGAAAGTAAGAGTAACACATTTTTCATTTTAATTTTTGTTATAATTTTGATATTTTATATTATTTGTTGCATTTATATAAATTGAAATGAAC